ACCTGACTCACTGGTGGAAGAGAACATTGTCCGCTTTTACATGGTGTATCCTGCTTTACAGCAAGATATCTATTTAAAAAGCATACATGATACCATGGAGGAATTACCCAGAATAATAAGTAACGAAAAAATGCTATTCTTATTGAGATGTATTCACTACTCATATCGAAAAATATGGAAAGTTGTATTCTCAAAGTATCACCTGACTTAAAAAAGATTGTTGTCTACTTCTACATAGTATATTAAATCTACAAAAATCTTTCCCACGCGAAAGAGTACACGATACCAAAGGTGAATAGCCCAGAACAATAAATATCCAAGGTAAAAAAGAACTTAACTTTACCTAGTCCTATACTAGGACTACACAAACAGCATGGAAACAAATTTTAAGTGTTTTATATTAAATAAGGGGGGAGGGTGTAGAAAACATGTAGTATGCGAACATCATTTTTAAGGGTAGTGTATATAGCATACCTAATATTTGTTTGTTTTTAAACACAATGGGCTATCTGTGCTTTGCCCACCACGGGTATCGAAAACCGATTTCTAGCATTATAAATCAGCAGCGCCTAATATTACTGACTTTTTTAGTTAATAAAGTGAACATTTCAGTTCACTAAGAATTTCCAAAATTTTCACACGTGCACGTTTATAGTTGTGTGCGTAGTTTTAACAATGGAATTTTAATCAAAGAAGAATCAGTAATGTCAGACTTACCAAGAGCAACTAGCATGAGGTGTCATTCACATTCAAACATAAGGGAGGTTATAACATCGTATATCCCCCTCATTTACCATTGGACAACACTGCTGTAAGACTTCATCCACAAGGTGCCGCTTTACATCTTACCTCTCATGTCCAGAGAGGTGTTTTTTCCATAGAAATTACAAAGAACAAAGGCAGCTAGAATATCAGCAACTTTACGACTTTGTTATATGAAACTGCACATTAGAACAAACAAACAAAAATGTCTACATAGAAATAAGAATGTACGAAAAGTGCACTAGTGATGGTGCTTTACTAAAGACCTTCAATTTTGATGAATATCTTGAAAAACTATCCGAAGAAAGAACTTTGACACATTGAGGAAACGTAGTATTAAACATAACTAAGTATCTTTAGATTTAGACAATGTTCAGTGAATCAGTTAGCTTGAAAATAAATCTTGAGGGAATAGATCCACCCTATTCAATTGACAACTCCAGTAGAAGTGACTGTCCAGCATCCAATGAAATAAGTACTTTGTGATAGTGAATGGCGATTGACTAGAAATGAGTAAGTGGTAGATTTTTAACTTTGTATAGAGCATGTCACTCACTGGGCTTTGGAAACATATTTACGAAATTATTCGCGTTATCAATTTTCAATAAGCTAGGAGGTAAAATGAAGAATTACGGTTCATATTTCGCGGTCTCATTAACCGAAAAAAAAAACAAACTTGCAACGTAAAGAAGACATTCATACAAACTAGTATTACACGTTGTGTGAACCGGCATGGCCAGGTGGTTAGGGCACTCGACTCGCAATCTGAGGGTCGCCGGTTCGAATCTCCGGCCCACCAAACATGCTCGCTCTTTCAGCCGTGGGAGCGTTATAATGTGACGGTCAATCCCACTGTTCGTTGGCTAGTCTTACACTGCTAAATTAGGGACGGCTTTGCGTGAAATTCAAAAACAAACAAATTACACGTTGCTTTTTTATGAGATCATCAAATAACATGGAAAAGCTATTTTACATTTGAGAACACATTATTAACAAAAGTTTATAAAATGAAATAGTTGAAAGCCAAATTAAATGAACATCGAGTAACTAGTATTTTTGAACAATTCACCTACGTTACCACAATTCGAGGACAACACTATATTGAATTATTATTATCTAACCAAGAACAATTTTCTTCAATGACTACGCAGTCAGCAGATGATAAAACACGTGTAATATGGTGTTTCAATAATCTCGTTATACACAGGCAAATTTTAAGTTGGTTGTTGTTAAGCGCAAAGCTACACAATGGGCTACCAGTACCATGCTATTAGGAGTGGACACAAATTTTAATAAGCCGAAACTTTGTTCTACAAACGCAATTTACAATGAAGTTTTTGTAAAGGTTCCTTTCAGTATTAGTATTATATTTTTTAATGTTACATGATAGTTGATATCTTTCATATATAAAGCTAGAAAACTTTGTCGTTTGACGTAAATGTTGCTCAAATTTTAGTTTATATCCATTCGTCGGTGTTAAGGGATCATTTTATAAACGATAAAAAAATGACCAATCAAAATCTGAGAGTTGAAAGAAAACAAATTGACAAAAATATGTAAACTAGATGGTATTCAGAACACGTTTATTCACACATTATTTGAAACCCATATAACCGTTTCACTCTCTCGCGTTTGAAATCAAAACACGGCAAAAATTATGACGAAACCGAAGTTGTTTGTTTGTTTGAATTTCACACAAAGCGACACGAGGGCAATCTATACTAGTCATCTCTAATTTAGCAATGAAAGACTAGAGGAAAGGCAGATAGTCATCACTGCCCATCGCCAACTCCTGGGGTACTCTTTTATCAACGAGTAGTGGGATTGAATGTCACAATTATAACGCCCCCACAGCTGAAAGGCCGAGCGTATTTGGTGAGACGGGGATTCAAACCCGCGACCCGCAGATTGCGATTCGAGCGCCCTAACCACCTGGCCATGCCGAGCGCCGAGGTTGGATCCAATCGTGTTATCGCACTTTATGAATTTTGAAAATTAGAAGTTAACCTTAAACTAATATTGATAGGTTTACTGTCCCACTTGGATGATAGGACATTCAAAAAGTTACAGCGAATACATCGTAAGTGTGGTTTATTATTATTTTAAGTAACATAAAATAGTTTAACTATGTACATGCCTATCTTGGGAAGGTTTGTTTGTTGAATGTCTGGCAAAGCCACTAAAAGCTATCTGCGTAAGCCGCCACACATTTTAAAACGAGAGGGCAGCTAGTCAACAGTAACCATCGCCAACTCCTGGGGTACTCTTTTCCAACGAATTGTGTGCTTGAATGTTATAACACCCCCCACAGCTGAAAGGGCATGTTCAGTCTCGTGACTCGCACATTGCGAGTCGAGCGCCCTCACCATCTAGCCACGTGAGAAGGCTAGTTTTCACAACAAAGTAGCTGTCACGCCTAGCGAATCACACATTTTTCTTTTTTCAGTTAATTTTATAATTAATCTTATGGAAGGTTACATTTTTGTTTAAAACTCATATTTTGTAAAAAAAAAAAGTCTTTTGTCTCTAATAAACCCTGAATAAGTATATTTAAATAACTAAAACCAAAAGAAAGATACAGTTGATCATGTATAAAAGAAAGATAGTCAACAATAAATTTTTCTATATTTAATTTACAAATGTATATTTATTTACATCACATGTAAAATTAGCTCAAAAATTTTGTCATCATTGCTAAAACATGATCCACAAAAAAGCCAATGTAACCAACAGCCAAAAAACACGACACAAAGACATACATCAAATATTGACAATTGTTTTAAAATTACAGTCTTGTTAGTAATGTAAAACAAAAAAAAAGGAACTGAAGACATAATAAACATTTCATATTTGCATCAAAAAACTTAAATAATCTTTCAATATTTTCCCGTATAAGAACTGAATGTGTTATTTTGCTTAAAGTTTACTTTCTCATTGATAAATACTTCAGATTTATTTAGTACAGTATTTAGACAAAACTCCCACTTAAAAAATTTCCGACTAACATCATCCTTCCTACAAAAACCTTCTAGGACATCTCTTTCTAACAAATCATCTGACAAAATATCTGTATGCTTTGTTATTTCTTTTATACTGTGACTCAACAATTCAATAAAGTATTTTTTTCTTTTGTACATTCTTGATACTAGAATAAGTTCATTAGATAAGTGCTCTTTCACTTTGTTAGCACAGCATATAATCAATTGACATTTTTCGACTGAACAATAAGCACATTGCCACTTGCACTAGTATCACAGCAAAACCATGGGAAGAATAAGTTCCAATCAGAAACAGTTTTTCAGTGAAAATTTTTATAGCGTCTTGAAGTTTTCTTACTTGCTGTTATGACAGTTAAACCAATAAATTCTTAAACAACATTTCAATTAAGCAAATTTGGGTAGTTAGATATCCTAACAAGACAAAAAAAAAGAGAAAAATCAATTCCAAAAATAAAAAGGGACTTGACAAACATAAAAAATATTGATAATTTGTTTAAACAAAATATTTTGGAACAAAGAAGAAAATCCCTTTGACTTAATTTTTGGTTATAAAAGGTGAATAAAATATTACCCTAATTTTTCCAATACAGATACCAAATGCTATGCATTAACATAGAAGCTACAATAGTCTTACAGATTATAGAAAGGGTGTAATTCTATGCAAATTACTTTAATAACAATTTTTGATTTAATAATTCTGTTAAATATGAAGTGCATAGACTAGTTTATTATGCTAATTTTCAATTGCTTTGTACCATATCTATAGATGACATAACTTCAGTTTAATATAACACTGTGTTTTGAAAACTAAAATTTGATTTATTCTAAGATGTTGTTAATTTCAATGTATTATTTATAAATCTTTCATATAATTTACTATAGCTACTTGGTCACTTGTTACACTAATATTTCTTAATTATTATGAACCTAAGTAATGTTACAACTACTGATTTCAAATAATACAGTTATTACAGAAATAAACAGCAAACAAAAATAAAAAATACTGTTACATCATAGTGTAAACACTAGAATAAGATTTGATACAAGAAAAATCTGATGCTAATCCCAATGTTTATATTAATGTCCTAAAAAAGGCCCAATTATTGTAAATTTTTTGTAATATTTTAATATATTATCTGAAGATTATAAAATTTATTGTACTTCATTTGTGGTGTCCTATATTAATATAAATTATTTTAATATCACAGAAAACTTTAGAAGAAAATATATAAATATCATTGTCTAAAATATTTAAGATTATTTTTATCATTCTGAGATTTTAAAACAATACTATAGATTTCCTTTATTTCTTTGACCAAGTACAGCATACCGATGCTGGACTTATAAATTAGCTTGAATTAAATGCCTAGTAAAGACAAATGTTTGCATGAAACACTTTAATCACAAGTAAGAAGTTAAGACCATGGATTGAATACAGAATATATTTTGTGACCATACAGATACAATCACTTGAATTACTTTGTTCTTTGCTAGATTATCTAAGTTAAGTTTAAGTTTTTCTTTCTGGATACAAAGATGACAATTGATGGAGTTAAGGAACTCTTGTACTATTTTGTTCACTGTTAACTGTTATGACGGATGCTGTGACTGACTGGAAACCTGAGCTTTAGCTGCTGATTTTTGTTGTAATTGAGTCTGAGAAATTGACTGAAGTCCTCCTTCTGATAGTTTATTAAGGGTCTCTTGAGAGGCATGGGCCTTTAGAATTCCATTTTCATGTTCAAGTTGGGATATTTTCTCCGTCAGCTCTGAGATTTTCTCCTTTAAGACGTCCACTTCTTCTCGTACAGCAAACATAAGATGGCTCTTAACTAAGTCCTAAAAAATTAAACAACATTATTCAGTGACTGAAACCCAAGTAGACCCATACATTTAGATACTTTAAAAAAAAATAAACACAAAATGATTTTAAGATAATATCAAATTACTTTTTTTTATATATGTAGATTCACATTAATGAAGGTATTTTGTCAAGAGCAGGTTGCAGGAAAAAGCTGCTGACTAACATCAGAAAGAGGCAGTTGGAGTTTCTCAGACATCTTATGAGGAAAGAAGAAATTGAAAGTCCAGTTGTGACTAGAAAGACTAAAGGAAAGAGAGACCATGGAAGACAGAGGTTGACTTATATTAAGAGTCTATCTAAATGGATGAATGTATCACCAATGGAAACTCTTAGTGTCTCAAGGAGAAGAGATCTGTGGAAGTTCAACATCCTCTTTGGATATGGTACATAGAGAGATAGAGAGAGATATTCACATTAATGCAAAATTAATTAAATTGAATTAAGTTAAATTAATATAGCTAAACTAGTATAATATCTGATACTATCATAATGTTACCAAATGTACATACACACTGAAATCATCTCTAACACCAGTGTAGGTAAACATATGGTCTATAACTCTTAATACTGATTTAGTTGTATATCATATAGCTAGAAACAAAGGACATGTCAAACTCAAGGTTATTTAATAGCATAATGCTTAAAACAAATATAACTTTCAATTATTATTATTTACTTAAAAGATTACAATAAAATTAATGAAGACAGCCCTACACAATTAAATTGCATCCATGCTAAAATCCAATATATTTATACTAAGAGCTAATTAGTTATGGGTCATTCTTGTAAAAACAAAACATTTTACTAATATCAAAAAATTCTCTTTCTATAATTTTACAGATTTAATCTGGAATTTATATTTTTCCTTCTCTTCAGTACTGTAATAAAATTGGGTAAAGTGGTGCATTATAGTGATTACAATACAAAATTAACCCGTAGTATTTAATGTGGTTATTCTTCAATACTCTAATAACACTGATTAAAAGGTACATTATAGTAATTCCAATATAATGTTAAACCTGCAGCAGATAACTTCGTTACTCTGCAATCCAATCTTTGCAGGTATTTAGGTTTATTATAAAAACCAGAGGTTTTCAGAGATCTTCAGATATCTCTTCACTTCACTCATGATTAAGGGTAAGTAAGACAACATGAAGAAGAGAAAAAAAAAGGCTCAAATTATTTTAAAATGGTCATTTTAAGTGTTTTACTGGTACTAGGGTATATCATTCATGGAGTGAAGACACCTCAAGAAGTCCAGGAAAGCCGTGGATATTGTAGTACTTGAATGATAATACTCAACATGATTATGATTGCAAATTGCATCCTTAACTTGTGTATTGTACTTCCATTCATAAAGCCATGTGAAGCACATGACAATATTTTTCAAGCAGAATTTGTGAAGTTTGCATCAAATTTTAGACCAATATTTATAAAAGTTCTAGAAGAGAAAAAACTCCTCATAAAATGAAAACAATCTATTGTTAGGAAACTTAATTTAAAATTGTAAGAAATGTGTGCAATGCTTTAAACAATTTTTTATTTGACTCTCAAAAAGTTATTCTTATATTGATCGTTACGGCCATTTTATCAATAAAGTTTACAACTGCTAAATTTCTGTAGACACTAAACGGTATAGTTATTTTTATGTGATGTTTGCTAAAAGATGTTAGGAGGAGAATTTCCACAAGAAAAATAAATTGCTTTGTCTAAGTTTAAAATCTTATATTGATTTACCATAAATATATTTTGCATTTAAAAAGTTCAATTAGTATTGTAAATTGTTTATCTTTTTTTTTTTACTGTGTAATGTCGTACAACTAAAATATTAACGTTACAAAAATCTCATTAACAATTATAAATTATTTCACTCTGACACTATTTTTACCAAATATGCTGTTAATTTTATTAACTGTTGTCAGTAATTCTGTAAAAGATTAAAACATTTCCCTATTTTGAATATCAAAGAATATTTAATAAACAAAACTGTGAACAATTATATAAATTTTCAAAACAATATTTGCTTTCATATTAGATTATGAATTCCAAATACAGGATTTCATCATTTTTAATTAAAATGTTAGTTAAGTATGTGCACAAGATGAAACTATGATATGTTTGAAACACAAGTCTTCAAGTTTCCTTAAGTCCATAAATGTTATGCTCATTTCTCACAATTTCTAATAAAAAACAACAACAGTACTTTAATTTGAACATTAAAACACCATATGGAAATAATTATGTACATATTCAACTGAAAGATAATACACCAAACCATGTCTAAGTTAACATTCAGATTAAAGAAAACATTCCATGTTGCCCTAATGACATACCTGGTGTTATGAAATATCTTATAATTTCTACATACTATAAGTAAAGTAAGTAAATTTCACTAAACTACCTTTCTTTCTTGCCTTCCTTCTATCAAAATTTAATCATTATATCTCTAGATGGAAAAATTAGTCCTTATGACACAAGTCTTTTGTTTTCTGCCTTACATTTAACATTAAATTCTTTTCACACTGTCTTGATGAAATCTGAGTTTCCAAATTTTAAGCAGGTATTTTTTCAATAAGCCAGGATGACTAGCAAAGTTAAAGAAAAATAATAACTTCAATATACAACTCATAAAGTGCAAATGTTGAACTGTTCTTAACAGATGGAACAAGAATCAGTGAGAACCTCACTAATAAGGTAAAGCCACATCATAAATAATCTAAATGCAAGACACTTAACTATAATTATTGGTCAACATAGCTTTGTTTTATAATATTTTAATTTCATCCAAATCATTTGTTTCCCTGAAAGGGGGCTGAAGGCCACCTGTTTTAACCACTCACACCACTATAGAGTAGTGTACTGTCTGTCAGTCAGTTAGTAGACACTAAAATGATATCACTAAAGGGACGCTTAACGTTGCAATTTGTACTGGTGTGATGTCAGTAAATAGTCTGCACGGCATGAATTACAAGAAGAATTATACACTCTGTAGGCTA